GACAAACATGCATAAACCTTATTTTAGTTGCTGTTAGAACTTAGAAACTGAGAAAGTTTCTATGAAACTGGGAAAAATTGTCTCAAGGATGCATTTAAGGCAATTTGAATTAATATAACATATTGTTTAAAAAGTGACAATAAACACAACTACTGGAGATCAGTAAAGGTGGAGTAGTTTAATAAAGACAAAAAAAATTTCCAAGAGTCTAACTCAATGATAGACAAAGTAAGGTGCAAGAAAATCCACTGGAGTTCAGAAAAAAAAAGTATAACTCCAATTTCCATTTTTACCTTGCTCTTTTCTTCATGCTTTATAATGTATACTATATCAGCATACATATTATTCATACATAAATATTCAGATATTGGGAGTATAAATTTTTTCGAAGGTATACAATAAAAAAATGCTGGAGATGGCTTTTTTAGACAGTGAGAACACATGCATATACCATCAATTAAAGTCACTAATGAAAACAGCTGAAGACACATTAATCTTAAACAATGATATAAAACCTTGGGTTTTAAGTCTTTTAAAACAACTGGATCTATGACATCAATATTTATGATGTAGTTAAGAATGTCTTAACTACATTATAGAGTTCTACTTTAATTCACTTTTTAGTCTAACTGGATAGCAACTGACTGCAAATTGGAACAAAGTCCACTGACTTTAACCTGTTAATCACTGTGCATGTATGTCTTGCAAGTACTACATTTTTGAAAGGTCTTAAATCTGTTGTCAAGTGTACTTGCAATGTCTATATTCTAAAACTTTTTTTGATTATCAGTAAGCCTCTTTAGTTCCTGGCATTATTTTATACATTTTAAAAATACAGTTGGTTTAAAAATAAGATGCAAACCTTCAAAAATGGGGCCCATTTCACACTTGCAAACAACCATACACTACTAGGTAGTATAAATACGAGGTCGACACTCTGCCAACTTTGATCACTATCAAAAGCAGTGGTTTGGTTTTTTGAAAGACACTGGAACCAGAGGCCATCTACACGAGTTGCTAAATCTATATAGCTCAGAATTCCATTTTTGTCCTACTCTTCACTTTAGAGCTGAAGTCATAAATGTCTACACCTGGGACATAATGATTTTCAAAACCAATTAAGAGATGTCAAACAGAAAATTATGACTTCAGGTAATGAATAAAATGGCAGGAATAGATAATTCTTAAGGATGAAAATTTAGTTCATCCAAAGCAAACAAATTAAATGTTTTGCCCTTATTCGCTTAGGGGAAATTATCACACTGTAAAAGGATGCAAACATTACAAATTGCCTAGTTCTCCACAGGAATGGGAAAATACTTTACAGATTTTATTATGGTGCTGCTGAGGGGCCGGGGTGGTAAAGGGGGTCAATGAACCACTAGTTGAATGGTTCAGAACAGCAAGGAGCACGACTTCCTACTCTTAATAAGATAAGAGGATGATGACATACTTTTAACAGTACTGTCAATTCTAGGAAAACATTACGTGCAAAAGGAATAGTGAGCAATTTATCTCCATGGCCTAAGATATAGATTCACATTTCCTTATTAACCAATAAGCAGAGCCCTAAAAAGAAAAACTAGACTTTATTTTATTTGCTGTAATTTAATAGATACAAAATAAAAACTTGGAATGAATTCAGTTTACTTTTAAATAATGGATTTGTATAAAGATTAACAGTTTGCACAATAAAGGACCTATATTTTATAGTGCTTTAAAAGGTATAATATAGAGAACAAAAGTTTGTATTTAAACCAAATGTACAAAAGATATCATCTTGTCCTTTAGTAAAACTGACATGTAAATGTTCTTTGTTATTCCAAACCATCACCATAAGCACATTGTTGTAACTTGTGCTAAGGAAGTGACATCCTAGTATAGTGATAAAGGTTTTTCATACTCTGGCTTAAACATACACCTTCCTGGCCCCTTTTCAGATCTTTAAAAAAAATAAAAATTAAAAAATTAAAAAATGCAATTTTCCAATCAGACCTAGGATTATTCCTCCACACCTTTCCTGATTGTTCCTCAGTCTTTCTTCCATCTCCACTTGTTAAAGTCCTGTCCATTCTCCAAGGCCCTCGAGGGTTGATGTTCTCTTATGTATGACTTCTGCACGTCACACATTACAGTTAGTGCCATTCCACTGTTTATTAGACTGTTAGTTATCAAGGGCAGCAAGTTTGCCTAACCAACCTCACATTCTCAACTACCATGAACTCAATGCCTGGCAAAATATAAGCTTGATACATAGCAATTGTTGGATGTTCTTAACTGAATGACAACTCATTCTCGATCTAGAAATTGAAATGTTATAATTTTATCCTATGTAAGATGAAACAGTTCTCTCCTGGATTAGTATCTTAAGTATTACAAAAACCCAAACAAGGCATGCGAAAGTTATTTACCAAACTATAGTAATAAACTCTCAGTTGAATGGCACCAGCTTTGAACAGTGCCTTTAAGTACCAATCATCAGGTGGTCTGAAATAAGCCATTTCCTCTATCCGGATTTCGGATGGGTTTTTTCTTATTAAAATCCTAGAGGTAAGAAATGAGCCAACTCTGATATCTGAAACCACCATTTCAACAGACCTCTTATTTTTGTGTACTTTAGACCACTTGGGAAAGATGAGATCATTTAAGCAGCAGCGCCATCATTTCTTTATTTGACCCCAACAATGCTCTCAACCTAACAGCAAAGAGACACGCATCAACCAGGCTAACTCATATTGTAATAAGGTAGCTGCAGGTATATTTACTTTAATAAAGGGAAAAAAAACTACACTAAAGAGCATTGGACCGTCTCTAAAAATGTCGGATTCCGAGGTACTCTGAGCATCCCCTTCCCCCACCTTCACAAATCTACTCCTGGAATCTGAGACATAGGTCCTTTGTCTGAACAATGTGGGAGGAGTCTGTCTGCAGTACTGGTGTGCTGGCAAGAGAAGAGAATTTACTGAAAACGGAATAAACGCATGAAGTTCTTTAACTCAATTGCCTTACTGTTGAATTTTCCCTCATCGTGTACACTAAAGTGCACTAAAAAGTAGGCAATGTGCCTTTTCGAGTTAAAATGTATCAAAAGGAACACAAAATCAACAAGAGAGTTAGGCTGCACTTCAAAAGCTAAGTTTCGGAATAGCAGAGGGAGCTGTTTATGAAACCCACCACTTGAACATCCCCTTCCCTCTCTAAAGAACTCGCTACAAGCCTCCATTTGTCAATTTCTTTATCTGAACAAGCTGTTGTAAAGGAAGCCGAGCGCTTTTACAAGAGTCGGGGATCCAACATGCAACCTCGGAGGTTTCCATGCAGAACACCGAATGCACAATCGACCCAACCTTTTACCACCTCACTGAGGTTTCTGGTGCCACGCCAGCCTGGTGTTCCACGAATACTGCATGAGTAAAGTGAACACCGCCGGATCGGGTGGCTCAAGAAACTTAATACCTTTTTAATCATGCAAAAAGAGCGGTACACACCATGAGTTTTCGAAAGGTGGTCCATCTTCTCATCCCGTCGACCCTCGGCTCCTCCCAGGTCCCTTCGTGGTGGACTTGGGGGGCTCACCACGTTCGCTTTTTCTGCCCCAAGCTCGTTTCTCGCGTCTCCCCACCCACGCCCGGGGCCATGCCCAGTAAATCCCCCTCCCTGCACTCACCCTGGCGACCGACAATCTCAGCGACATGCTCGGAGCTGGGCACCGGGACGCACTCGGTGGTGTTGACGCTCTTTCTCCGCAGCAGGGCCGCCTGTTCCCCGTTCAGGGCGGCCGCCGCCGCCCCGCAACCGCCGGGGCCGTAGGCGTGGGACAGCATCGCCGCCATCATGCCCTGGGCATCGTCCCCTCCGTACAGCACCCCTGCCGCCGCGGCTGCCTCTCGAGCATCGAAGCCGGGAGCCGGCAGCAGAACCGACCCCAGGGACCCGCCCGGAATCGGCTGGGTCTGGGAGGCGGCGGCCGCGGGCGGCGACAGCAGCAGCAGCGACGACCGGTCCTCCTCCTCTGCCTCCTCCAGCTCCTCCTCCTCCTCCAGCAGGTCTCCGTCCAGCTCCGCTTCCTCCCCCTCCTCCTCGTCCTCCTCCAGCTCCAGTTCGGCAGTCTCAGGGACCCCGGGCCGGCCGGGCGGCGCCCGCTCCTCCGGAGACATACCCGCCGCCCGCCTGGCTTGGCCCTGAGCTGCCGTGGCCCTTAGCGCCGGTGCTCCGGGTTCCGCTGGGCTGGGGTCGTCGAGGCCTAGCGCAGC